ATAGGAACGCGTGCCATTCACGAGACGAGTGATAATACCGGGAGTGAAGATGAACTGAATATTTCTGGTACGAGTTATGTTAACAATAAATCAAAGTTTTGATCCGACAGTATTTTCCTGAAAATCATCTCATGAATTTATAGTGCGTCTTATCGTCCGATACGTCGTTGATGACTAAACCTAATATACGAACGTTCTCTAGATCGATTATATCTTCTATCCATAAAATTGGCAGCTTTACGCTATACTGGAAGTTGAGGAATGACTACAAGTAAATGTCGATCGCCGTGAAAATTGTTCTGTCAATCAACTGAAAATGTGTTGGAATAATTAGGGAATAAGAAAAAAATTGGAAACTCTTGCTTTTCATTAAAACGATCAATGTATTCTTTCAAAAAATAAAAAATAAATACATAAAAAAAAACCAGTATCAAAAAACTTGATTTATTTGATTTATAGAAAAAAAAAAAATAATAATAATAATAATAACAACAACAACAATGATCTTTTGTAGATATTTTCTTCGTTTGCGATCGCGTTTTCCTTAGGAATAATAATTAGGTAGAGATTTACCAAAAAAAAAAAAAACAAAAAAAAAAACAACCCCAAAAATAATAAAAAAAATAAAAAAAATAATAAACTGTAAAAAACTGAAAAAAAAAAAAAAATTAATCTTCATCAATTGGAAGCGCTACACCATGAATAATTTTTTTATATTAATGCAGAGTTGCCAACACTTATCGAATTAGCTATTAAAAAGCCAAATTAATATATTAAAATCAATTTAATTATTGCATTTTTTATTCGTTTAACCTTCATTTAATGAAAGCTCTTGGAACGCACTCGTTTATTGGACGTTGAATACTCTTTTCTACGCATACTTTTCAAACATCAACAAGTAAAGGGTTTTCCAAGATTTACGGAAGATTTATATTAAATAAAAATAGACTTATTTGTTTTTAATTTCAATTTTTTTTGTTTTTTTCAATGAATCATAATGTATATAGGAGAGGGTTGTGTGTGTGGAATAGCATATCGAGCAAATGGCTATGGGTAGCTTTGCTGGCACCTGCACACTCTCGCATAACCACTTTGCAGCATTCAATCTTCTCCCTTAATGCATGGGTTGGAGGCTAGTTGACATGATTTGGACTTTAAATAACATTATTAAAAGAAATTCAGTGTTTTTAAATCACATGATCTAGCGGGCAAATTGTAATCACTGAAACAAGAAAAGAGAGTACACGGCCAGGGAATGTTTTATGCTTTTATTATTCTCAAAATATTATTCTCCCGTCTAATGCTCTAAATATTTATTCCGTGCTTCCATTAATCCTGGCCAGCAACTTCTACAGGTAAAAATAATAAAGTAATTTAAAGTATCAATGTACACAACGATGAAATTGAATGATTTTGACCTTTCGCTACGCAAAATAAAAATTTTCCGTTTAATACTATTACGTTATTCAGTGTATGCAGGCGCTAATGATGGAACGTTCAAAAGTACGTTCTTGAAAGGCCCCGCAAAAAATGTAAGAATTGTCCAAAGTGAATTTACTACGACGATTCCAAGTGCAAAGAGTCATGGGTTACTTCACGAGAGCCATCAAAATCGACACCGAAACAGATAGCAATAAAGTTTTTGTGTGCACATGGGAATCAGCATAGTGTAGTATATTACGAGCTTTTAAAAATGAATGAAATTTTTACTGTTGACGTACACTGACATTGATTAAACAAATTGAACGACATATTGTTGCAAAAAAAGGCCAACAAGAGCAATTAACAGATGCAAAGTCGTGATCTTGCTCCGCTCGGTCACACGTGGCAAAAGCTGTCAAGGGTACACGTGTTTCAACTCGAATGGGAAGTTCTGGCGCGACGAGCGTACTCACTAGACATAGCGCTTTCTAATTACCTCTTGTTCAGATCGATGCTGATCGATGCAAAGTTGAAGATGTGTGAAAATAGTTACATAATTGTACCACTGCCAAATCAATATAAGTTCTTTCGGCACGGTATCGGCATGTTGCCAGAAAGATGCAAAAAAGTTGTTGAAAATGGTAGAAAACACATTGCTTAATATACATTTTATTCATTTTTCTCAATAAATGCCGTTCCTAAGTGAAAAAAAATGGCCAAAATTAATGCAAGCATCTATTATTATCCCTAAACTGCTACCTATGGAGCAGTTTTCTTTTTTTATTGCCAACTCTTTATCGCACAATTGGCGGCAAACTGCAAACTTGAATAAATTTTGGGATACCATATGTATTCTCTGTTCACAGCAATGATGTCGTCGACCTATGTAATATAAAAATTAGTTGCTATTGCATTACCCTCTCAAGAAATATGATTTGCCCTTGCAATCTATTTTTACAGCGCAACCTTTTTTACTTTCAGAAGTTTAAAGGGGACGTACATATTTCATGGTCCACATGAAAAAATTAATAAGGCAAAGCAAAATCCTTCAATGTGTTATTGCAAGAATTGGTTTACGTGGAATTCTTGGAAGTAATTTTGAACAGTGTCATCGCATCTAAAAACATTGTGCAGGCCACCTTTTACAATCTCTGTGACAAGGAACTGAAAAATACATTTCGTACCTATTTTTTGTTTGTCCCTTTATGTACATCTACAACCTTGACGGACTTGATCATGTTTGTTTGTTGAGAAAAAGGAAAACTTTTTATTAAAAATCCGTTCAATTCAAAAATGATTTCGAAAATTTATATTTATACAGACATCTCGACGCAGTTCGTAATGCTTGAAGTGTTGCTTTCGATTATGCTAATAATGCTTGAGCTATTAAATGTTGTAAGAAAGCATTATTTGAGCTTACAAGGGGAACAGTTTAACAATTAATTGTTTACTAAATATCGTTGTGTTTTAAGTTAATTGTCACATTTGCTATATGCATCGCTTGCAAGTAACTGTTGCAATGAATTTCAGAAGCTCATAAACTACACCCACCGGCGCCACCTTCAAACGTAGAACTTTGTCGGACAATGTTGATAATGCATGGCCGCGGAATAGGCTTATATTGTTTTAAATTTGAGGCCATAAGTGAAAACATTTTTTGATATAGTTAACCATTGGCACCGTTTAAGGGTTCCTGATCGAAATCACAACCAATGTTGTCATCCATGTTGTCATCTATTTCGTCAAGCTACTCCTTCCATCACATTATTATGCGATTGAAAAGTGTTGTCTTCTTAACCATTGCCTGGTCTCGTATCTTCATCTAATCAGCGTACTCCTCTGCCTGTTATTCTACTTCGAAGGTTGGGTGTCTTAAATTGTCTTAATTAAAAGACTAGCTCTTGTATCTACATATTCTACTCAATTATTACTCAGTCGATAGCAAAATCCATTTGGATGATACTGAGGTAATTTTAATTTGAGTTTTAGTGTTTTTGCTTGATTGGTAGTACAGTCAGTCCTAAAATCATTCATAAAGTTTTTCAGTTGCAACTGCTCTCTTTTTTTTATTCAAATATATATTACAGAGTCACTTAATAATTGATCACGCAACAGTAATGCGATGCTTAAAGGCTTACATTTAAATTTTCTAAATCAATAATAAATGTCATAAATATATAATTTGATGTTTAAGTCATAGAGAAATAAATGTTTTCTACGCGCTTATAAGTAAGGTAATCACGCGACTCAGACACGAGCCCGGGGACCTTTTCAATTTAAATAATATATAGTATATAGTTTGCCAAAGCTTACCACATAAGTATTCCAATAATTTAAATTTCTTTATCACGAAATTCGTTCTTTCATTGAGCCTCTTATCAATTATCTCATTATTAGTAAGAAAATTAGACAATAAATGTACAATATATATAGAGGGATTTATATGTAAGCATAGATGCTGTTACTAGGCGTAATTGACTTTGCTGTCAACGCAAAACTTTCTATGATTGGAGAAATTTGCAAAATTTAAGTACTCTTAAGTGAAAGTTAAACTTTGTATAGAAAATATATCGAAAATTTATTTTCTTTACCCAGGACAGGTCAGTATGCTCTTAACATGAGCGACATGGATATAAACTTAATATGCTTTGATAACCAAGAAAATGTGGTGATACATGAGTTTATTGATATATATATTGATATATATATATATATATATATGTATTTTATCCCAAGCACAACTTTGAAAACATATAAACACTTTAAGGAGGTCTACCATCCAGACAATTATCAACGGGATAAACCGGGGCAGATGCAAGGATGATCGTCATAGTCCCTTGTAAAACTTTTGACAAAAGCATGCCTTAAACCAATGCTGAACCAAAACTTGCGTGTATTATTACCAAACTGCGCTTGATCAATGGATGTGATCGCTTTAAACTCTAAGAGCTATGCTTTGCGAAAACCAATAATCAAGTCCAAGAAAACTTGAAGAAATGGTAATTTGTTAGTGTTCTTGGGGCACTTGGCTTACATAAAATCTTCTTCAAAATACTTTGTCACGTTATCTTGACTAAATGATATTGAAAAGTGTTGGCAACTCAGGCTTACACAGCCTGAATATAAATATGAAATGCAACTCCCGCTCGCTCTTTCTCTCGCTTTTACTCTCCCCTTCCCACTATCACTCTATCTCTCTCTCTCTCTCTCTCTCTTTTTTTTTCATATTTCCTTTTCACCCGCGCATGCCGTAACAAAACAAGTTTTGAGTATGTTTTGATTATTTATTTATGTTTATAACTTAATATCACTTTCAAGCTTAATCCGTGGCTTTAGTTAATTAAAATGAACGTACAGCGCGTTAATGAATGTGTAACATAAATAACAAAGTAATGTAAAAAAAAAAAAAAAAAAAAAAAAAAAAAACAAAGTAAATAAAAAGTAAATAAATTAATACAATTTTATTCAATTAATTTTATTTTATTTATCATCTAGAAAAGTTGATTTAAGAAAGAAAAAAAAAAAAAAAATTGATATTATAATAAAAAATGATAACATATCACTAAAGCAATTAAATTACATTTAATAAACATTTTATGTAAAAGAACGCATTTCTCAAAAAAATGTCCAATTCAACGACCAATTTTCTATTAAACACTTAAAATCTTCCTCGAAAAAATTACGCACAATTTTTCTTTTTTTTTTTTTTTATTTAATGAAAAAATTTCCGTAACTCCTCTTTACAAAAGGAAAGAAAGGGAAATATAAAATAGTATAAGATAATAATTAAAGTCATTGAAATTAGAGATTTTAAATTTAATAACCAGGCGCAATCACAACAACGAAATGTATGCATTTCGGAATTTCAACCCCACCACCAAAACCAATAAGAACAACATTACCGCCGACAATACAATCCAATATTCCTCCATGGTACCCTCGTCTACAACATCGGCTATACGGATACCACACTTTAAGCAAAGTCTACGAAAGCAACGTTATCTACTCTTTGGATTAATATTAATACAGTTTTTATGTTTACAGGTGAGTGATAATTCAATACATCTGCATATGCATACCTACATATAAACATGTACTTGCATATATATATATATATATATATATATATATATATATATTTATCTTATAAGCCCCATTGAGAGAGTTTCTCCTATATGTTTATTACCATGTGATGGTCAGATAAATTCTTTAGTGTTAACGTCTGCGCCTGGCGTGACGCCTTAATCAGACGATTAGGGTACACCCCAACCTTGCAAGACAATACTGCAGGAGAGAGGGTCTAGTCCAAGAGTAAAGTGCCAGAAATGAAAGTTTGAGTACGGTAGAGACCTGTATTTAATGCCCCGCAATTAGGTAGACCACAGTCACCACGAGCACTCCACGAAAGACTGCACCCAAGCAGTCCGGCTTGTGTACGCCCACTTCCCCCAAAGCATCTCGCATGGTATATACAAGTGCAAGCTATAGCCCGAGGGATCCTGGTAGGCACTAATACTTAAGCCCGTGTTGAACGAGGCAGCGACCCCTACCCGCCTAAGTAGGTGCGTGTGATATTGAGTGAGCGGGCAACCTGACCTCTCGGATCCATAATTTTATTATGAAAATCCTTTCGGATTCGGATTATCCATAGTTCCTGGGAAGCCACCAAACTACTTTCCCCGTCCGTATTATTGTGCAAGGAACACATATCAGCCCAGCATACGCCAGACACCTAATCACACTCCGAAATCTTTAGCTTTCTCCATAATTATATGGTTATATCCTGGGGTTACACTGAAGCTGACTACCCGGTGAGGAAGTCTGCGAGTGGACGACCTCTGACACTCTCAATGACTCTCCAAGGAAAGAAGCCCCGTTGCCGGGGTAATCAACGTGATGGTCAGTGAAAAAAGATCTGTGGCATGAGCATAGATTGGATAGAGAATTGAGTCCGGGTTTTTCGACTTGATCGTCGAACATCTTGTCTACTTGACTATCTGATAGCTACGCACAAATGGACAAAGATTTTCATATTTTCAAAAATTTATAATCGAATACTGCATGCGTCCTCCCGACGCCGCGTGAATTTTTATTTACAGTTAAAACCACAGAAAAACGCTTTCCGTAAATAAGGTCCACCTCTTTATACTCTGATATACACTGAACGATATTTAGTGAACAACTGAAACTTATATCAATATCTAGGTTATCTAGGTTAAATGACGACGTCAGATATGTTTTATGAAGCAGTTTCAGCGGAACGACTTTATTTCTATAAAATTAAAGCAAACTTCAATCCCTAATACCTAATATCCATATCATTTTACCTCGTGCCTCCTCTAATTTGAAATATTCTATATCGTAACGCAGTAAAACGAAAAGTGCCGTCTTAACGCATCAATTTGCTAATAATTGTGGCTTCAATTGACGTCGTTATTGCAATTGTAACTGTGTGTTGTTTGTAATATTTGACAATCATTGAGTGAGTTGAGCCTAAATGCGATTTTAACGCATTTTGCAATTGTTAAGCAATTAAAACCAAATAAGAACAAATAAACGACCAATTACAGAACTGAATGAACATGTATGTACCGAAGCCAAATGCACAGGGTTTCTTAAAGTTTTTGTCTACAGCATACGAGCGTGCATTTAAATATTAGATGCTTCTACGTAATCGGTCAGCCAAGAGTAGTCAGATATCGTTTTGACATGCATACAAAAACAAGTAGATGAAGAAGAAGGTAAGAGTGTGAAGATAGATTCGAATTTAGATAGCAATGGCATTAACAGACCTTTGTTAAATAGTTGACATTGGTTAAGGCAAATAATTAAGGGTTAAAATCCGATTTTCGCCAAAAAAAAAGAATCGCATAAACATAAATACGAATTTTAGTAGCACAGACATTTACCAGCCACCTTCACAGAGGTCGGCAAAAGCCGAGCTCTCTCTTTTGTAGATCACGTAAAAAATCGATGATAAAATTATGCATACAATTCAATATCGTTCAACATGGCGCATAGAACTTTTTATTATGTGGAGAATACAATGTAAAGAACATTGCACTAAGAGATGCTGAGAATAAATAAATCGTCGCGAACGATTTTTGAAAAAACTTATTTGTGAATCAACTACGAACTAATCGATGTGAAAGAAAAGAAAGTCGAATCAACACGGCCGGTTTAACCAAACCATTGCACGTGTGAACTTGACAGTCTCCAATGGATTCTCTGGAAGACTACATTGACAAATTTTCGAAATGAATCTTCTAAATCCTTCCTTATCTAAGCTCCTTGGAAGTTGTTCTTACAATTACAATACAGAAATTTCACTGACTAAAAACTCGGACTTACCACCAAACTTAGTTGAAATAAGAAGACAGTTCTTAAAAGCATTGTCTATAAAGCTCGACAGTGCAATAGCTCTGTACACCGAACAACGAAACATACGAAAGAGAAAACTGTATATCGTTTTTCAGCTGTTGGTCGTTATAAACACACCATTGTATACATACAAAGCGATGCCATTTATATCGCTTCAAATTTCTTAAAATCGTTGGACAATGTCGCGGACTCGTAGAAATCATTCCAAAGACATCAAAAGATAGTCACTGCTGTGTTGTTACATTTCTAGATCCATCAAACGGAGTCTATTAGGTCGAGTGATAAGTAGCTTTCGCTTTTTTATCAGACCTTTATCTTGTTTGCATTGAATAACAAAATTTGTTTTAATTTAACAGTTGGTTATGAGGTATTTAACCTCTCTACCACACCTTCTGTTGATTGGCATAGTTTTTCAGCTGTCGCCTTAGCCTTATTGCCTTGTTTAAATTCCCAAAGAATTACATGTCGAATATGCACTTCTTGACTCTCCATTTCAGAGGTTAAGAAAAACAGTTGAACGTGACATGCACCAGATAAACCGGTTGCCAGAAGACTAGCTGAGTCCTCATCTATATATAGTGAACACAAAAACTCGCTTGCGGGTAAATACGAACAATAGATTCTACCTAACCGCATCGGAAGCAATTTATGACACGACCTAATAATACAGTTAAGTCTGACGATCTCTTGCGTACACTCACTTTAGTAAATTTCTCAAACTTTGTATGGTGGTTCTCTCCAGGAAATCTATTGCCTGACATTCGGGACATGTCTTACACTGAAGTAAGTAAAGGGATCGAGTGAACTTTTAATACGCTCATAGGAAGAAACTGCAAAATGTTTTGTTAAAATAAATACGATAAAGCTGAATACTAGAGAATGATAAAAAATAAATTTTCTATTTTTTTATCGAATTCATTTTGCAATTGATTTATTTATATACAAAGCGGACATGATCAGTTATATCCGTTTTAATCCGTTTACATTGAAATGTCTATTGAGGATCATTGGTGTAAAAGTCAGAATTACCAAATTACTTACGGACGACCGACCGTTTTCTCACCCATAAAAAAATAAACCATTGCCAAACAATTGGACCAAAAAAAAAAGAAAAAGTTTATAATGCTGTCGTACTTACCAGATAAACGCAGAGATATACCTGTTTTGGAAATCTACGTGTAGCGCCTACAAATTTCCATCATACAGACGGTAAAGTATATATATCCTTGATTAGCCTAAGATTCTTAGCCGATTCTGATAGCCTACTCCGTCAAAGCATCCATTCGCAAAACACTGATAGATCTACAAAAGTGACAAAATGCAGTATAAAAAGATACAAATTGTGTATTTAAAAATAAGCGCGGTCTGTCCATAAATACTTTTGAATCATAATTTAAAAATTGGGCAAATTAGTGAATTGTAAGATATTGATTCAAAATTTGCACAAATGTTCATCGTAATCACATAATCACACGGATGGAAGTGTCCACATGCTTACGGCACTGTTGCCCTGGTTGTATTCTTTCTACGTAATGGCTTAGGGTTACCTCTTTCAATCCTAATCGGGCTACATGTTTAAAAGATTCCAAGTTCGAACGAACCGCAACAGGCTCAACGTGGTTCATTTAGGATTAACAGCTCAACCCTTTACTAGATTCTAAGGTATGTGTTTGCAATTCATTCTTAAAATCATATATGAGAGAACGTCAATTCTAGTTAGCATGAATACCACTAGCATTAACTTAACTATTAGCAATTTTACTTTTTAATAAACGCTTTGAGACAAAACTTGAAATCTTAATCGAAAATGATTTTTGACGACGCGGCTGAAATTCTTGAGTAAAAAGTATCCTTCTATGCATATATGCCGAAAATTTTACACAAAATCAATTATAAACTAATCTCCGAAATATTGAACTATTTAAAATGTCACAAAAAACAAAAATAAATTCGCAATTATCGTCATACTGTTTATAGCTACAACAGCGCTTAATATATTATTTATTGCTAAAACAGTGAAAGATTGTTTTTCTATTGTTAATGTTCCTTAGTAAAATTTTGAATTGAAAATTTCGTGTTATCATTTAAACTCTCGCTTTATCGTAATAAAATGCCAATATTGCCCATTGTATGCTGTTAGCCATGAGAGCATTCAAAAGTATGTAAGTCAACTCAAGTTTTTTTTACACGATTTCGATTTTTTTACACGAGTCGAATGCACGCAGAATATCCGCAATTAAAAGTGAATTTTGATAAAAAATTTAAATAATTTGACAAGTCAAAACGTTGATATTGATTTCAGAATATTATGTAAAAGAACATAACCACAAAAAATGTCAAGTGTCGATATGAAATTTGTTTTAAAAATTTATTAAAATGTATTGAATGTTGAAAGCTTTGAATAAAAATAGACTAAAAGCAAACGACGGTGGGTATCTAAAATTCGAACTTTGGGATAAATACAAACTACTTACTTTTTATATATCTGGCAAAAATTTGTGTCACTCATTGATATCATTATTTTGACATTGTCGAAAGGTTTTTGGCAAGTTTAAACAAAAAATTTTTTTTTCTTTTTTTTTTCTGTTTTTATTTAAGGAATTTTTTTTGGCCTCCAGTCAGTTGGCATCAAAGCAAAGAAAGCTGTATTATTAGTTCTGCAT